GTTTGGAAGTGAGGAACACAAATAACTAACATTTCCTGTGTACCTACCATGTGTCAAGCACGGTGCCAAGTGCTCAGAGGTACCTCATTGAAACTTTGTAGCCCAGCCACTCTGAGTTGGGTTATTGTTTCCATTTTACAGATCAGCAAACTGAGGCTTGGTGCACTGACTTGCCCACAATCACAGATAAGTGGCAGAGCCAGGCCCCATCCTCCCAGCTGTCCACTCTACCTCTGCAGAAGTAGGCATTTGGAATCAGCCCAGGGAATGGTGGATAGAAACAAGGAACTGTTGAGAGAAGTCTTACAGGAAGGGGGAATTTAGAAAGAGCCAAGGGAAACTACAGGTTGGTGTATATTATAAAGAATCTGAAAAGTCTGGCTTGGCAGTCTATGCTTAGTAAATAAAAGTGACCTTTGCATATGAAACCATCTCTTCTTGGTAAATAGAGATGTGTTGGGTTTATCTAGAACCCAAGGTTTGGCTAAGAACATTTAACACGTAAATACAGGAACAAAAGACCTAATCTATTATGGACAGACTGAGATAATATAAATCAACTAACATGAATAAAGTGGTAATCAACCATAAGCCATTTTGTTTGTTATCACCAAGTTACATCACCAACAGGTTAAAACAAAAATGTCACTAAGGGACAAAGGCAAACACGTACTACTGAGAGTAAATGATAAACATTCCAGGCTTTCCAGAGCATATCACTCAGGGCATTTTTTCATTTTACAAAGGCACTTTCTGCATGTGTTTTATGATTACAGAAGTAATACACGCTCATTGCGGAAAATTTGGAAAATGCAGAAATATGTAGCTGCCTAATTTACAACACTATCTACCCTACACAGCTGTTGTTTCTCTCCTTTGAAAACATACTCTAGTATTTTCTATAATGTGTGAAGAATTTCCCCAATTAATTGACTGGGATTCCACAGGCTTCTGTTTACATTGATTATCAGCAGCGATCACACCTGTTAGATTCTCAGCCTCCTGCTGTCTTTTCCTCTCCCCTCTCCCATCCCTTTAAGAAAGACCCATTTCCTGAGCAGCCTAAAAGCAGGGACCCAGTTTTGTGCAGAGCTCTGCCCTGAGCACTGAGCGTGGGAGCACACGAACATCTGTTTTCTTTCTTTCATTCTGCTGCTCTCTAATGTTCAAAAGTAAGAAATGTCGAAGCATTACCTTTAGGTTGGCATTCAAACTAACAGGCATCTTATGGGGAAGGGGAAACCTTAAATACATAAGCATAAAAGTAACATGTAGATTTGTTATAAGGAGTGAAATGACCTTCATTTATCAAAACAGGCTCCTTCCAAGAAGGAGTAATAGCTTCAGATGGCTTTCTGACTTTGTTCCTCCCTGATCACCATTTACTTACTGAGCACCTTCTGAGTACAAAGATTTGCAAGATAGGGTCCTGCCTTCAGTGGCTTGAATCTAACAGGAAAAAAGAAAAAGACATATGGGTTAAAAAAAAAAAAAAACTTTCATGTGAGATAAGACAAGTTAAGATAATACTGAGGAGATCAGGCATTTGACCTAGACCTTGGAGTATAGATAAGACGTACGTGTGAAGTGTGTGTGTGCAAGAGAGTACACGCGAATGTGCATGGGTGGGTAGGCGGGGGGGGGGGGATTCTAGGC